ACAGACCCCCCCCCCCCCCCCCCCTCCAGGAGGTGATGCTGGAGGCGAGGGCTTGAGCATAGGCGGCAAGGATGAAGAAAGTGAGGAGGGACATGGTGGCGGGCCATGCCCTAGCACCAGGCCACTCCCGGTCATTGTAAGGGGTGCTCTGTATTCTCTTGATGAAATAAAACAGCACTGCTCCGGAGATGGCAAGTCCAGCCGCGCTACCGATTGTTTGCAGAGGGACGGCTTGCAGCAAGGCAGCAGTCTGGAGGTGACGGGGGGGCATGAATCTAATGAGCTAGGACGAGGTGTGCCTCTCTGATTGGGTCTGTCAAATGCGGGTGACTGCGGCAGCCTGCAAGGCCCCATGGGTCCAGGGCGAAAAGCCTGGCATGCTCCACATTCTCGCCCAGATGGACTCTCCAAGATGCTGGGGTGTCAGACAGGTTCCCTTTCCACCAACCCTCATGACCACACTACTTGCCGTGGTGAGGCCAGCCGTGCCAACCAGCGTCCACCCGATGGAGGGCCGGCCGGGTGTCCCAGCCGAGATGCTGAAGCCATTATAGGCTGCCTCGCCGCCCAGCACAGCCACTGCGGGATGCGGGGGGTTGGGATGCAGCAGGATCGGACGAGGCGAGCTGGGAACAGTGCTGGAGGCAGAGCCACGCCAGGCATGCCTGTATGCATTTATTGGGAAGCCATGCCCAGCTCCCGACTCGCTCACCATAAATCACGGCCTGCTGGGACACCGCGAGCGCAGCCTCGGGACTGATCGCGGACACACGAACATCGCACTCGTTGCTGTGTTGCCTTTTATAGCCAGGTTGCATTCGGCACACCCGCGGCAATGGTGTGGTGCTACAGATTCGACCCCTCAGCGCGAGGCCCGTCCTAGCGCCGACATACAGCATTGCCATGGAAATGATACACGACGAAATGGAGTGAGAAAGATGTGTGGAGGTTTGTCAGCGCTCAACAGAATGGAGTGATGAGCGCGCTGGTAATGGGAATTCCGTCTACCTCTCCATGGGTGGATTTCCCGCATGCTTTGTGCGCGCGACCGTGGAACTATTAAAGTCACATACTTCCTTTTTAAGCACCCCTTGTAATCGATTCGCCGCAAGGGTGTTGCTAAGTGTATTGGGTTTATTGATAGGCAAGCTGCCTTCGCTGTCTCTAAACGCTCGTCCCTACAAAAACGAGGGTGATTGCAATGCTCGGCATGCCGCTGAAGGGGTACGTACCACCCGACCAGAGTGCTGCACTTAACAAAGGCTATACAAAGCTGCAGGGGGAAGACTGTCTGAGCCGGTCTTCGAGTGTGCCCTACACGCCCCTGCACTCCCGACGAGGAGTGCTTGATGGTACGTCCCCCATGCGTCAAGCTACGAATTGTCTTCCAGAAGTTTACCCGCACGTCTCGGCTGCCAACCACAGCTTCCGGCTGGATTGCCGTATTGGAGCATGTCTAGTCATATTCAGTGTCGTATTCTCGTGCCGTCATTTCACGGGCCCTCCAAGGACAGTAACAAGGAAAAAAGAGCGGGAAAACTCATGGCTCTGTGGTGGAGGTGGTTGCACAGTACGGACGCGGACTTGCCTGGTCTTCCAAGGCTTCAGAACGCACATCTGATGCACCTGTAGTGCCATCGGATTGCTGGGTATACGGTCTCCGCTGCGCAGAGACCCAGTTTTTTGCCCGACCCATCCCTAGAGAGTCCAAGGCCCTGATACAGGGACCACGTTCCCCCCATCCCGCACCCTCGATTCGCCCTCTGGCCCCTGTCGTCAATTCCGGCCCCTCCTAAAAAGTCTGGTCTATGCTAGACAGTAGATTCTCGTTCTTCCTAGCGCATCCGTGAAGGTGAGGGTTGGAGTCGCATTTCCAGGTCTCATGGTGCCGTCCGGAAACACGCTGCCCGCGCGGGATGCACCATCCGTCGGCTTATCCCTGAGGCCAGACTCCCCTTAACCCCCATGTCACTGCCCCCAGGCCATGAATAATCCGGTCCAGGAACACAGCGGCCCCTCCCAGTCCGCCTTCGCCGGCCAGGCCCTGGCCACGCCCTCGGTCTCCTCCTCCGACTCCTCCCATGTGGCCAGCCCCACCGCCCAGCGCACCCCACCCCCGCTCGAGGACGCCCGCGCCAGCGTCCTGCGGGCCCTCTCCGGCGTGTCTGAGGTGGTCAGCGCCTCGCGCAAGGTGGACGAGGAGGCACGGGCGGCGATCCTGGCCCGACGACGCGCCCGCATGGGGGGGCCCGGCGCCGCCCCACCGGGCAACGGCCCCCCCTCCCGCTCCGGCTCCATGCCCGGCGCGGACACCGGGCTGGGCCTAGGCCTGCACGCCCGCCTGAACAGCCTGGCGGAGGGGCAGGTCCCAGGCCTCTCCCCGCACGGCCCTGGGATCTACGGCGCGGGCCTGGCCGGCGCCCTGCACTCGGGGTCCGCCGGCGCCTGCCCCTCCCCCCTCGCCGCCCTGGCTGGCTCCGCCAGCGTGCCCCTGGGCGAGGCCTTTCACCCCGCCGCGCCGCGCCTGCACAGCCCGCTGCCGCAGAGCAGCGCCGGCGGGCATGCCCCGCCGCCGCACTTCCCCGCCCTGCTGGACGCGCTGGGCGTGCTGGGCGTGCCGCAGCTGCTCCTGCTCCGCTCCGAGGTGGACCGCCAGCTGGCGTGGCGCGGGGTGCTGGGCGGCGCCCCGGACATGGGCTTTTCTCCCGCGCAGCCGGCGGGCGGCGCCAGCCCCGACGCCAGCATGCTGCTGCTGGCGCTGCAGCAGGCCCAGGCCATGCGCCAGGGCTCGCTGGGGCCCCAGGACCCCGCCCCGCTCACGGCGGGGTCCGGCAGCGCCGGCGCCCAACCCGCCGCGGAGCGCCTGTCGCTGCGGGAGTGGGTGCCGCAAGGCGCGCCCGCCGGCGCAGCACGCAGCGGCGCCATGGCCGCCGCCGCCGCGCGTGCGCCCAGCCTGCCGGCCCTGCCCACCTCCTGGGCGGAGGACGTGCAGCTGCCTACGCCTTTCGCAGACCCGGTGCGCCAGGCCACGATGCCCGCGCTGTCGCCGGCCACCTCGCTGCAGGCCCAGGGGCTCGGGATGGAGGAGGCGGGGGTGAGTCGGGGGGAATTGTTGGCGTGTTTTGGGGGAGAGGAGGGGAGGGGAGTTGCATCCGTCCTGATTGCCCGGGCAGGCGCATGCACATGGGCGGGGGGGGGGGGGTGAGTCGAACATGGCAAGTGATGCGTGCATGTGCCTGATGCGCGGTCCAGCGCTGGCCTGCCCGCACCTCCCCCATCTCAAAAGACAGCTCCATGCCCCGGCACGCTCCACCATCCGACGCCCCTGCCCCCAAAACCCCCTCGTTGCAGCTGACCCAGGGCATGGGCGCCTGGTCCCCGGTGCCCCAGCGGTCCACCGGCCCAGGCATGACGCAGGAGATGCTGGCGGCCGTCACCGCCGGCCTGCACCTGTTTGACCCCCCCTCCGGCGGCCTGTCCCAGGACCAGCAGGCGGCCTCGCTGGGCTACCAGGGCGACGCTGGGCTGGGGGACCCCGGCGCCGACCAGGGATCCCCGCACCGCCTGCACTACCCGCACGGCCAGGAGGGCGTGTGGGACGCCCCCCTGGACGCCGGCTGGGCGGTGCAATACCGCTGAGCCCGCTCTCAGCCCACCACCCACCCCACGACCCAACACCAAGCCTCCCCCTCCCCCCAAGCCCCTCCCAGCCCCCTCAACATACCAGCAAACACCGTCCTTTCCTGCCCCCTGGCCCGGAGACCTTTACGAAGCCGCAGGCCTCCAAGCCATGCCCAGCTTGCCACGCGGCCCCCTTCCTCACCCGTCAAGAGCACTGTTGTCCACCCAGCCCCGCCTTGGACCCCCGCCGCCGGCTCACCCAGTACGACAGCTTTTCCATACACCCCTGTGCTACCCCCTTGCCACCTCAGGCGCAGCACCAAAGGTACCTTTTTGATCTCTTGCCCTGCACTGCCTCTGTTCCCCTGGGAGATACCCCCGTCCCCCATGCCTGCGGGCCCAGACCCGGCGTGCATGTCCGCTTGGTCTCATCCCCACCTCGCTCGTCTGCCCCGCATGATTGACACATTTTTTACCATACCTTCAACCAAGGGCTTTGCAGAGCGCGGGGTTGCATGGGGTCCAGATCGTGCGAGGGCATGGTGCAGAGGGCACAGGTGCGTTCAGACAGCGGGCAGGGTCGGCGTGGCGGCCGCATGGCATTCCACGGCCGCTCCAGGACCCTGGAAGGGGTCACAATGCCGTGTCGTCGGAGGGACCGCCGTTGGCGCCGGCGCCGCCGCCCCCCCTGAGGTAGGAGGCAGCGGCCGACACCAGGCCGTAGTTCCCCAGCGCGATCTCCAGCGATGCGTGGGCGCCAACGCCTGTGCCCGGGACCGGCGGCCCCGAGCCCAGCTCCAGCGCGCCGTCCAACGAGAAACCCGCGCTCAGCGCGCGGGGGCTGACGTGGTACAGCTGGCTGGCGCAGCCGGCGGCGAGCGGCACGGAGGGGGCCGGCATGCCCTCTGGCGGCAGCAGCGGCCGCCCATTCAGCTTCAGCCGGCGCAGCAGGAAGTCGGCGGCCGCGGCGGGCTGGGCGCCCTCCCCTCCCCTGCCCAGTGCACTGCGGAAATTTGGGGGTGGGAGGGGTGGGTGACGGGGAATCAGAGGGGTCGGTGGGTGCGGTGCATGTAAAATTGGCACCGTCCTTACAAGGGGGAGCAATCTTTGATGTATGGGTCACGTGGCGGCAGGCTCCTGTCTGGGCAAGTTGATCCTTGTCAACTCCACACCACAAAGCTTCGGGATGATTGAACTCACCCTCCCCACCGCGCCGCCCTCCTCTCCACATGGCACACAGGTGCGATGCCCCCCATCCCATCACACCCCCTCTTTCCCTAGAGCTCCTCACGTGTTGCAGAGCCTCAGGCTCATGGCATTAATCTCCGGCCCGCCCAGCGCCGGCAGCGGCGCGGACTGCGTGAGCATGCTGCCCTCCCCCGCCTCGGTGGCCACCGCCAGGGTGCATGCCCGGGTGTGGTGGAGGGAGGACACCACGGAGCCGAGCCAGGTCTGCTCCGGCGCGGGGGGGCTCCCGGCGCCCTCGCCGCCCTCCCCCTCGCTGCCGTGCAGGGTGCAGTCCAGGCCAAAAGCGGCGGCGCCGCCCCAGAGGAGGCCCTCGGCTGACAGGGAGGTGTCGGGGTCGCAGGCCGCCTGCGCAAAGTAGACCGAGCGGTACCCCTCCCCGCCCCCGAAGTTCTGCAGGCGCAGGCAGAGGGCAGGGTCAAAGGCCGGCCACTGCGGGTCGGGGAGGGGGAGCGGGTAGCGCAGGCGCTGCAGGCCGCTGGTCACGCCCTCCTTCTTCTTCAGCAGCGAGGCCAGGGCCCAGCCCTGCAGCGCAGCCGCGGCCGCTAGCACCTTGGGGTCCAGCCTGGCGAGGTCGGAGGCCACGTGGTGGTACAGCGAGTCCAGCCCCGCCCGCGGCTCGGCCTGCGGACCCGCAGCCTCGCCACCCTGCACCAGGCCCAGCGTGGCGTTCAGGGGCCAGAACAGGCCGTCGGAGCGCTTCCGGCCGTCGCGGTCGTTGAGGTGGGCCGCCAGCGAGGCCTGGGCCTCGCTGGCGCTCTCCCTCCACCCCTCCACCGCCGACTGGAGGCTGCTGAAGAGGCCGGTGCGGTTGGCCCTGGCCTGCTTGGCAAAGAGACCTCCCCAGAGGCCTTGGTAGATGTTTCCCTGAGGGGGGGTGCGGGGTGGTTGGGGCAAGGAAGGGGCTTGGGGTCGCTCGATCATGGCGCTGGGCTGCGGGGTGGTGCTCCTGACGCCGTGCCCCAGCGTTGAAGGGGGCTCCTGCCCGTGTGTCCAGGCATGGTGAAGCCACCTCATCCCCGCCTTGAAGGCATAGCTCGACATGAAATGAAGACACTAGCAGTAAAATGTCGTACTGGGCGACTCAATGTGCTGGGTTGGCGGTGCACATCGCGGTCGACTCCCATCTTCACCGCCCCGCGCACACCTGACTGGCCAATGCCCCAGACTGGCACAGCAGGATGAGGAGCGCCCAGAAAAGGATTACCGCTCGCATGATATCCGTGTATACATTTTACCCTGGGGGAGTGGGTGACGGGGGCTGGAGGGAGCCAGTAGGACCAGTCGCGGGAGTCGTTTTCCGGGCCGTGCTCGAGGCAGCGCAGATGGGGACAGTTCATATGGGGTGGCGGGAAAGGCCAATCCTCCATGCCTACCACGCATGCTCATTGCCGCTCCAAGAACACATCACCAAGTCGCCTCCGCCCTCCATCCTGCCTACCTCCCTTTTTGCAGCTGGCACGGGGGGCCATGCATGTCACCGCGACTCCGTCACCCCTGGTGGCGCCCCCTCGGGGGCTCCCACCGGGGCTGTGCTTCCGTGGGCACCAGAGTGTGACACTGCGCACATGGACACGTCCCCGTCGCACCCCCCTTCATCGATCGGCTGCGATTACCGCCGTTCAGGAGTCTGCAGCCCCCTCCCTGGTGGTGCCGTCAAACGAGGAGCTCGGTCTGGATAAGACGGAGTCGGAACTGTATGCCGAGTTCGACGCCCTGCTGGATGCCAACACCCTCTCGTTCAAGTCTGGCGAGAAGGTAGGATCGCGAACGCATCGAGGTCCTTGCCTGGGTGTCGGGAGGGCCTGTGCATGGGATACGCCCCCTCGTGTCTGCTCGGGCATATGCATGGGGTGCGCCGGGCTGCGCACCGGCCTCGCGCCGCCTGCACCACTCGATGTATTGCTTGTGTCGACAAGCATACCTCCAGACTATCTATCCCGTCTCCGACATTGGTCGCTCGTCTCTCGCGCAGGTGAAGGGCCACATCATTCAGGTTGACCAGAAGGGTGCCCATGTGGACGTCGGCGGGAAGTCTGCAGCCTTCGTGCCCAATGTCGAGATGGCGTTGGGCCTCGTCCCACGGGTGTGTGGACTGGTGCTTGTTCTTGGGCTGGTGCTTGTTGTTGGGCTGGCTGTGTGCATGCGAGATGGGGTTGGAGCATAGTGGTGAGCACAGCCGGCACGCATGCTGCGCATGCAGCGTCACACTGGGTGCTGTGAAGTCGCACAGAGCAGCTTGCCAGTTTATCGTCGTGCAAAGGCTGGCAGCATTCCATGTGCATGCCCATGGGGGTTTATCGTGCCGCTGTTGGATCCTGTGTCCGTGGTTCAGAGCCTTCCCAGACATTCAGTAGTCCTGTGCCCGCTGGGACCCTCCCTTCCCATCCTGACACCCCGACATAAACCCCGTTCCCATTTTCCACGCCGCCCACAGTCCAACGACCTGCTGGATGCCGGCACGTCCCGCGAGTTTGTGATTGTGCGGCAGGACCACCGCGGCGACATCATCCTGTCGCTCAAGCGAATACAGCTATCGGTCGCCTGGCAGCGCCTGCGCCAGATCGCGGAGTCCGACGCCGCGGTGACGGGCGTGGTGGCCGCCACCAACCGCGGGGGGCTGCTGGTGGACGTGGAGGGCGTGCGCGGCTTCAACCCCTCCTCCCAAATAGGCATTGTGCGTGTGTGGGAACGGGAGGAGTGGGGGGCATTTGGGTCGAGGAAGCCGTGTGTCTGCCGACAGGGGGCGTGTCTCTGGAAGGCGTGCGTGGTGTTTTCAACATGGGTGACACAGGGGAATGATATGCATGGGCAGCCAACAGACTGCTGACGAGGTCGCAGCGCCATCTTCGCCTTCGTGTGCAGCCGCAGACCTCCGACCTTTCCCCCCAATGTCCCCACCCCCCCTTGTGTACACCCACAGCGCACGACCAACTGGGAGGAGCTGATCGGCCGGCACCTGCAGTTCAAGATCCTGGAGGTGGACGAGGAGACGGGGCGGCTGATGCTGTCCCACCGCCGCGTCATGAACGAGGAGCGGCTGGAGACATTCAAGGCCGGGGACGTGGTGGAGGGACGTGTGATGAGCGTGAAGCCCTACGGCGCCTTCATCGACTTGGGCGGCGGCTCCTCCGGCCTCCTCCACATCTCCCAGATCTCCTCTGCCCGCATCACGGCCGTGGACCGCGTGCTGAGCCCCGACGACCGCATCAAGGTGCTGGTGTTGTCCCAGGACCGGGACAAGGGCCGCATCTCCCTCTGCACCAAGAAGCTGGAGCCGGCGCCGGGGGACATGCTCAAGGACCCTGGCCTGGTCTACGAGCGCGCGGAGGAGATGGCCGCGCAGTACCGCGCGCAGATCGCGGCGGCGGAGGCTGCCGCGCGCGCCTCCGCTGAGCAGCTGGACCTGGAGGTGCTGGCGGCCGGCGCGGGCGAGGCCTCGCCTTCGGGCCTCTACTGAGCGAAACCTGTGGGCGGGAGGTTATGTGGAAAAGGGGGAGAAGGGAGCCGAAGAGCAAGCAGGGCGGGGGACCTACGCCTGTGTGGAGGGGAAGGATGCCTCCGCGTCCTTTGAGGAGCCACCCTGTGTTTCTCCCCGCCATTGCCCCGCGGCTGCAGCTGCTGCAGGTTAACCATACGCCCTGCCCATGCATCGTCTGAACCCAGGCATACCTGGTGTTCCTACTCTGGTACCCCAAATCCAGCCCTCTCCCCCTGGGTCCACTCCCTGCCCAACATCAGCTCAACGCTCCCTTGCCTGCGTCCTCCCCTGTGCCACGTCTGGCACCTGGACCATTGTCACTTGAACATTGCCTCGGCTTGTGAAGCACCAGGAAGGTCGCTGAGGCATGGGAAAAGGGATCGCTGAGCGGCTCAAGGTGTGCGAGGGATGCGCTGCTGGTGGACACGCCTTGGCTGCCCCACGCTTGGGCACTGACGCTACCAGCGCCGCCTGTCCAGCCTTCAATATTGAGGAGATGCACTCGGGACCCAGTGTGCAGTCTTAGGGCCAAGCCAACAGCATTACACCTGCCATGATTGCGCACCCCCCCCCCCCCACGCCACTCCGTCG